TAGAGGTACTGGGGATGCTGGTGCTGGAGGTGCTAGAGCTGCTGGTGCTGGAGGTATTAGAGTTGGAGGTGCTAGAGCTGGAGGTGCTGGAGCTGCTCCTACTGGAGGTGCTGGAGGCGTTGGTATTAGAGGTGCTGGCGCTCGAGGTGCTAGTGCTGGAGCCGCTGGTGCTGTAGGTGCTGGAGGCGCTGGTGCTGAAGGTACTGGAGCTGGAGCTGCTAGTGCTAGAGGTGCTGGAGGTGCTGGAGGCGCTGGTGTTGGAGGTACTGGTGCTAGAGGTGTTGGAGCTGGCGGTCCTGGAGGTACTGGAGCTGTAGGTCTGGAGGTACTGGTGCTGGAGGCGCTGATGCTGGAGGTGCTGGAGCTTGAGGTATCGGAGGTACTGTGCAGCAGCGACCGTTTTTCTTGCCTCAGTCGCAATCGTCACTTCCGCCACCTGGCTCGACGCTCCACCAGGTTCTTAGTCTTCCATCCTCCACTGTCCTTCCTCCATCTCTCCTATGTCCTCCACCTAACACGTCACAGTTGCAGTTATTGGTTGACTCCCCACTACCTGCTCCTTCTCCTTACACTGAGTAGACAGAATTCCTGACAGAGCATCGTGAGCCTGCGTCACGTCCTGCTTTGCCTGTTCGCACTGGTCGTCATGTTCCTCGTGTTTTTCCTCCTCCTGTCCCTGGCACGCACACTAAAACACTTCGTCCTTCCTTTGTTCCACATCGTGTTGGCCTGCCGTCTCCTCCGGCGTCCTCTCTTCCTGACGTTCCTGACCCTAAGTCTGACCTTGTTCGCACTGCTCATCCCAGTGTTACGCGTTTCTTGGCCACCCTTGTTACGAGTCTAGTGCTGCTTCTGCCTTAGTCACTGAGCTCATTGACTTTGCTGCTACTAGTCGTCTAGACTATGTCGAGAGTCTTGTTATTAAGTCTAAGTCTGAGTCTGACTGTCCTCCATCCATCGGGGGTGAGCTTGCCCTTGGCACTGACGTCCTTGAGGACAAGCAATTTGAGATCAAGTGCCTTACGGCTTCTGTACCTCATCTTACTGCTATGCTGCTTTGCCCTGAGGGAGACCCTGATGCACTAGACATCCCAACCACACGCTCTTATGCAGAGGCGATCACGAGTCCGTACTCCTCTCAGTGGCAGACAGCCATGGATGCAAAGATGGTTTTCTGGAAGTCCACAGGTACCTACGTTGACGAAGTTTCCCCTCCTATGGCGAACATCGTTGATGGCATGTGGCTGCCGAGTTCTTTGTAAGCCTTCAAGGCACGTTACGTTGCACGACGCTTCAATCAGCGACAGGGGGTTGACTACTTCCAGACCTTTCCTTCCACCCTGAAGATGACCACTCTTTGGGTGTTACCACACATTGTAGCACATCATGACTACGAGCTCCACTCACTTTACTTAACCATTGCAGTTCTGCAGGGCAGCATTTACGAGGAGATCTGGCTATGCTCCCAACCTAGCTTTACTGAGTCATTTTTCTGAGGGTACCCTGTGGAGCCTTTGGCGGCCAGTCTACGGCCTCCATCAGGCGCCCCATGAGTGGCACAACACATAGAGGACTACACTTGCGGCTCTTGGGTTTGCTCCTTCGACTACTAACCCATCGCTGTTTCTACGAACTGACCCTACATCCTCATGTACGTCGATGACTAGGTATTTGCTACTGCTGACACTAAGGCACTGGCCCTTGTGAAAGTGGAGCTGTGGAAGAGTCACACCTGCACTAACCTAGGTGAGCTGCGCAACTATCTTGGCTTGTAGATCACCCAGGTCAGTGCACGACGCACCATCTCTCTGACTCATTCACACATGGTGCAGCAGGTCCTTCAACGCTTCGGCTTCCAGTTCTCCTAACCGCATTCCACTCCTCTGCCTACAGGCCACTCGCTCTCAACTCCACCTTCGGACGAGTCCGTAGATCTGAGTTGTCAATATTCGGAGCTTGTGGGCTGCCTCATGTACCTGATGACCTGCAATCGACCTGCCCTCGTGGCATCCTGGCACGCTACGTCGTGCCGGAAGTCACCGACCAGAGCACTGGCGGGCTGCTAGGAGGGTGATGCGTACTTCTGCAGTACATCGAGCATGGGGCTCGTGCTTGGAGGACGGGGTTCAGTTGTACTCACTGGACACTCAGACGCTTCTTGGGCAAATGACTAGGCGTCTCAGTGGTCATAAGAGGGTTACAATTTCAGTCTTGGCTCAGGTTCAGTCTTTTGAAAGTCTACCGGCTTGTCTTTCGTCTGTTCTCAGCTCCAGCTGTGAGGCTGAGATCTACGCGAGCCATAGCTGCACACGAGTTACGTTGGCTGACCTACCTGCTGACCGACTTGGGAGAGCGGCCTCGTTCTCCTCCACTTCTGTACGTCGACAATAAGGTCATGATTGCCTTGTGTGAGGAGCACAGAATGGAGCACAGAACAAAGCATGTTGCTTTGCGTTACTTTCACACACGAGAGTTGCAGCAGCGTGGTCAACTTTGCCTTGCTTACGTGGCCTCCCAAGCCAACACTGTTGATATTTTCACCAAGTTCCCGAGATCTGGTGATCATCAGCGCTTTTGCATTGCTTTTGGCCTTGTGCCTACCTTGCCTCACTTGCTTACTTCTTGACTATCTAAACATGCATGCCATTTCGTGCTAGGTTGTGATCACTGTATTGCATGTGTCTTTTATAACTCTTCATGCGAAGTAATCTTGTGACCATATACTTGTGCTTGGACTATGTAGTGACATTGTGATCCACCCTGAGCTTTGCTTCGCTTCTTCTCTTGACTGGTTTTGTGACCGTTTACTTCTCTTGGTCGTTGTGATGCCCCTCACTTCGGCTATGGGGGTGTGTTATAGTTATGTTTAGTATATTTTTGATTCTAATATGACTTTCAGAGGAGTGTGCAATGCAATCCTCATAACATTTCACATCTCGGGTATACAGCACACTCGATATTATGGAATGCATACGGTGATCTAAATGGGAACAAGATATGCACAAACAATCCAGTGTATAAGGGGGAGGAGGGAGGGAACTAGAGAAGTTAAAAACTATAAATGAGACTAGGTGGCAGGTCACGTGGACCTGCCGAAAGGTAAAGGAGGATGTCTCCTTTACAGCAAACCCCTCTTCAAGTCGAATCACAATCTGTAAAATTTTTGTTTGTTGTTATAAAAAAAAAAAAAAAAAAAAAAAAAAAACTCATGTCTGCTAGTTAGCGTGTAGTGAGGTGCTTGTTAGAGGGCACAATTTTTCTCTCAACACTTTTGTTTGTACCCCTCCCTTTGACCTGATTAAACCATTCCTCTCCTACTATTCTTAACACGGCATCCGCGTATGAGATTGATCGAGGGGGCTGGAACTGTGGAGTAGCAGAGGGCGATGTTTGATGTGGAGATAAGGAACTGCAAAGCGCGCTGAAGATCTACGAGATTTTCAGCTGCTGGTTTGCGCGAGTACTGAGCCAGTTTGCTCGCGATGTATGAAAGGTCCTGAGGGCTTGCAGGTCATTAGGACAAGAGAAGGCATCCCAACTGCTGCTGGTAAGTCTGAAGGCTTGCGGGGACATGGCTTTGTTGTCAGGCTTGTGGTTCGGTCCAAGAGTGTGGTAAGGGGTGGGGAGCGGTGCAGGCGAGCTGCTGAAACGTATGCCAAGTGTTTCTGCGTACTTGGCAGCTGAGAGATGGATGGCCTCTAGTGCGTAGGAGATATTAAGGCCGAGGAACTGCTTCACATCTTAGTTGTAGGTGATGCCGACACGCATCGTCATTTTTTTTTTCTTTTTCGAACTGAATGATCAATTCGTTGCTTGACTCTGCGTAGAGAAAATCATCAACATGTACGTTGAGCAGAATGTAATTGCCACAAAAATATTGACGGTACATCCCAGGATCGTGAGGCGGTTGCTGCTAGAATCCTATTTCAGAATGTTGTGCAGGTACTGCCTTAGCGCCTGTTTGATCCAATAAAAGGACTTTCTCAGCTGGCACACACGTGAGTCACCGTTGTGGCGTTGCCGTAGGTGTGCTATTGTTCCACTTAGATTACCATATCCACCAACGCTTAGAAAAATGTGTTCTTGACGTTGATTTGAGTCTGACGTCGAACATTATATGATGTCAACAAAAATGAAGTGTGTTGGGTGAGAAGACATACCGTATTCTCCTGGACATAACACCCTAGGGTAGAGCTAAAAATACAGGGTAAAAAGGGGGGGTGTCTTCTCATAGGAAAAAGCTACATAATGCCTGAGTACATATATATGGTATATTTTAGTGTAAGAGCTTTTTTTTATTAGACAAGTTGAGTGTTTCCATGGGCGTTTTAACATCACATGTTGAGGCACGAATGTGAGTTTCGACGCAAACGTCGTTACCCCCTCGAAAATGTCATTTGGCACCTCTCTGGCCACCTGCAGCGAAAGATTCACCAGCACATGGCGAGAGCGAAATAGTGGGCGAGGGGGAATCTCGGCAGATTCGAAGTGAAATAACCGGGAAATTTCTTCGAGGGAGGGATTTTCGCGATATCCTCCAGTACTTGCACCTACTCGATAACAGCTAAAATAAAGAAACTGTAAGAAAAGGGGGGTGTTATAAAAAATCATCCAAAAAGGGGGGTATAGTAGAAACGAGGTCGCCCATAGCACCCACCCCCCACAAGCTACCCTGTTGTGTACAATCATTGGTGGGTGTTTTGTCCGGGAGAATGCGGTATTGTCGGGACTAAGAAATAACAAGCGTTTTTGGAGTTTCAGGCGGAAAAATGCACCAAGACTTTAAATTCCAAGTAATATCAACAGGTACCGTATGAAATTAAAAAAATCAGAGGAATTTCAACAGGCCTGAATATCAACAGGCCTGAAAAATCCAATAATATGTTTTTGTTGTTGATTTTTTTTTTTTTTCCTGGAAGTACCAGTTGGTCTGAAAAACAGAGAATCAGACGAGTTTCGAAGGGGATGATGTAATGTTTCAGCAAATTCCAGTGAATTATTCACCCAATTTTGCCAAGCGAGGATGATATAGCCTTGGAGGAACCAAACGACTCGATGTACTCGAGCTGTTTTTCTAACGGGATGGACACCTGTTCCTGCACCCTGCGCATCTCGTTATCCACCTTGTGCGCTGCTCTGTTCTCCTCCACACCAAAGTACTCCTGCCGGATGGCACTCAGCTCGCTGAAAACGTGGCTCATGGTGGGGCGCGTGGCAGTGGGCATGAGCGTGCAGCTGATGGCCAGGCGCACAACGCGCAACAGGATGTTGTCAGGCAAGGGCGGGTGCAGCTGCGCATCCCTTAGGCGCGACAGATCATTGCTCTGCAGCGCCTCCTCAGCCTGCCGTGGGGGGAACGGAGGAGTCGGAGGGAGAAGGGAGGCCAATGAAAAGAAGAGGTTGAGGAATGATGCAGCGTGCAGTGGAGCCATGCAAGTGTCCATCACACAGTTCCACTTGAATCACACACCCTGACTTGCACGCTCAACTCACAAGCCAGTAACTGTCACCAGAAACTACGGTAGCACAGAAGGGAGTCATGAGAGGGCTCACTCACCCATTCTTTGATGGTGCTGTTTCCACTGCCTGTGTTGACAACCGCTCGCCTCCCAGTGATGACCTCAAGAATCACAATGCCAAAGCTGCCACGACACATTGCAGGCACAGCAGGACACACATTGCAGGAGCGTATTAGGCAACAGAACACCTTTCACCTCGCATGGACCTGCACCCAGTCCCCACGTGCACACGGACAAGAGCACAAGCGCAGCTCCATTACGCTCGTAGGGGCTAGGCAATGGCTGTTCACCACAGCTACATGCACACACTAACCTGTGCACACACGCACTCACCTGCACACACGCACTCACCTGCACACACGCACTCACCTGCACACACGCACTCACCTGCACACACGCACTCACCTGCACACACGCACTCACCTGCACACACGCACACACACACACCCGCGCACGCACACACACACACTATCACACACACACACACACACACACACACTCACCTGAACACATCAGTTGTGGTTGTGGCCTTGCGGGTGCGAGAATACGCAGGGTCCACATAGCCCGGCGTGCCGAGAATGCGAGTGGTGTACACGGAGGTGCCCTCGCCCATGCGCACGAGGCCAAAGTCGGCCACCTTGGCGTGCATGTGCTCGTCCAGCAGAATGTTGGCGGGCTTGATGTCGCGATGCACGATGCCAAAGCTGTGCAGGTACTCCAGCCCGTGCGCCGCCCCCACCAGCACGTCCATGCGTTGCGCCAGGGTGAGCGTCTTGCCGGCATCGGTGGCGACCCAGTGCTCGAGGTCGCCGTGGTGCATGAACTGGTAGATGAGGATCTGCTCCATGCGCTCGTTCACCGTGTCCATGTCCAGACAGTACCCCAGCAGCCGCACCAGGTTCGGGTGGTGCTTTGACGCCATCTCGTTGATCTGCCACACCGCGCAGCCATGGCAAGGGGAAGGGGCCGAGGCCAGTCCAGGTGGGGGTGACGGCGGACAGTGGAGAGATGGGGTGAAAGGTGTGTGGGGAGGGAGGAGGGGGAGAGGGTTGGGTGGGGGAAGGAGAGAGATGGGAGGCTGTGCTTGAGTTCCAGTGTTGGTACAAGCATCTCAGTGGACAATCTCAAAACATGTGTGGGGTGATGGCTTGTTTCAACCCACAAATAAAAAGCCCTCTAAGCCATCAGCTGATGCATGCAGAAGAAAGAGCAGTGCACGGCCCTGCAGCGCGGCACGCACCTCGCGCTTGAAGTCGTTGGTGAGCACCTTGCCTCGCTTCACCGCCCATACCACGGAGGGGTCTGCGGGGTCCACAGCTCGGTACACGTCCGCGTACCCCCCGCTGCCAATGCGATGCTCCTCCGCCCAATTGGCTGTGGCATGCTTCAGCACTGCCAGTGGGTACTGCCGGCATTGCCCTGCCCCTGCTGGTAAGGACTCATGCGGCGCTCCTGCTGCATCAGCAGCAGTGGCACCTCGCGCCGCTCCTGCTGCTGCCATTGCTGCAAAATCTTCTGGGTCTGAAGGTGGCGGTGGGTGAGGGGGTTTGGGGGGGGAGGGTGGGAAGGGAGGCGGCGGGCCCATACACTACAGAAGGGCATCGAAGAGGGGAGACACGAAGGAGAGCACGCAGTGGGGGAGGGCAAGACAGTAAAGAACAGGTGGAAGTGAGAAAGCGAGAAGGGGTTGGAAAAGGAGTGAAAGGCGAAGGGAGTACCTTCGAGTGGGTGAGAGCGCACATCCTTGTTTTGGCGGGCAACGAGCAGGTAGTAGAGTAATGCCGCAATGAGGACAACTCCTGCCACGCACCCGATCACAATCCCTGCGATGGCGCCCACTGAGAGAGCTGCGCGCACGGGAGGACCATTCAAAGGAGAGCACATTCTTCTTTTAACTTAACCGACTACCGAGGGGAAGGAGTGGAGAGGAGTAAGGGGAGGGGGATGTTGGTGAAACGCTGGCACTGCCCTGCTCTTGCCACACATTACAACCTCACTGCGCCTTCGTCACACATTGCTGCACTGCGCCTAGAACAGGGTAGCCTCGCGTGTGCGGCTTCATTGCACCTCCGCACTTGCACCTCAGCATGCGGCATGCTGGGCAATGCCACTGGTCTGCCTGCTTTGACCGCCAGTACAGCCGCACTGACTGCCGCTCATTGCAAGTCCACATAAGGCTACTACGACCATCCTTGCAGTAGGGCCAAGTGACTGTAGGTACACACACGATGGTGCGGGCGTGGGAGCTGGAGCGTATAGGTTGAATGAGTTGTATTGTTGGAGTGCCTCCCGCCGCCATACGTCCTCGTCATAGTCCTCCTCGTACTCCTCTGCGTAGTCATCCTCGCCACTTGCTCCGCGCTCTTCTTGCGACGCCGTGCTGACCTCCGCCAGATAAGCTGCCCCTGGCGCGCGGCCGCCCGCGCCAGTGAGCTGCGCGCGGATGCTGGGGGGAAACAGAAGCCCGTCCGTCGAGTGCACCACGAAGCTCGCCGAGAATGCGGCGGCGTATTCCAGTACAGGCACATCCGATACAGTAAGGCTCGCGTCGTCCAGGTGCAACACGAGGCTCTCGCCTTGCACGGTCCGCCAGGGGCCCTCCCAGGCGAAGCGCGAGATCTTCTCGCGAACGAAGTGGTACAGCACGACTTGGCGGAGGGTCTCGATGTGCGACGAGTTCCGTAACGTGGCGACAATCGCGCCTGGCAGCCTCTCTAGGGAATCGTCTGACGGGGCGAAAACCGTAAACGGCGCGCCGTTAAGCGCGCCGCTGATGGCGCTGCGGACAGCAGAATGTTGTAGAAGCGCAACAAAACCGGAATGGCCCGGCGACTTTGCGAGGGTGTCAAGGAGGAGCTGCCACGTCGGGCCGAACACGTGCTCGCTCCGCTGTGTGGACGTCGGGAGACAGACCACGCAGACGGGCATGGCAGACGCTATGGCGATCATAGCAACCAATGCTATAGTACCATACGCGAGTTTCGCTCCGTCGGCCTTCGGTGACGACATGGCCGTTGTTGGTCGCGAAACGCCTCGACGAGGCCTTCACGCGAACCAGTGGTTTCAATCTCAGCGTCGCGGGACTTTCACGGAATTTCACGGAATTTCACAGGGCATTGACGGGCCCCACACTCAAGTTATGCAGGTTCGGCCCTTAGCGGGGCTTTGACTCGGCTTTGACGGATGAGTTTTGATTCACCAGCCTCAACCCAACCTTTGACGGGAGTCGCTAGAAACTTGAGCAGAAATTTGAGGCGAGGGAATTCGAAGTGATCGATGACAAATGCCTAGTACAGATAGATTTATACCCAATCCAATTCACACTCAGCGTTGGTAACAAACGTGTTCTACACGCCAACACTTGTCAATGTTTCACGTCGCGTCGCATACACGACCCCGACATTTTCGACGAACACTTCTCAAGTCCGAAAAGCGAAAACTTGTTGAATACACCGTGTTTGACCCACACATTGACCCCCGTCAAAAACTTCTTTGCTTCACTTTTCTTCCACTCGTCAATCTTCTTCCTCACATGATGCCCAACCCCTGCACGCAAATTTGCCCTGCACGCGATGGAAACTCTGCACCCGTCTACACCCTATTCGCTATAATTGCACACCCCCTACCAGCTTCTTTAGAGGTGCCCTATACCGATTCAGGCTCGATACGACGGACACCCTGAAGCTCAGGGACTATCAGTCGACAGCGAGATGCAGTTTCCCTCGAAACTACACCATGTGTTCCGAGTGAGGATGGGGTTGGGTAGGCACGACTGAAGTTTTCAATGCTTACGTCTATTCGCGAGTGGGTTTCGGAACGCCCACCAGCTATTCAATATTCGCAGCGAACTATCCTGCAAGAAAGTTTGCATCCTGGGTATGTACCCCCATGGTGTGCGTTTAAGGGGTGTGAAATTATCGCGAGTAGGGTGTATTTTGCGCCAGCCAGTCGCACCCCATTTACAAGCACCTCAAGCAAATTGCAATTATTGAACCAATACAAATCACAGAAATCAAAGTCCGCTTGACCGAAGAGACCGAAGTCAAACAGTCAACGGCGAGCTATAATTTTGTTATAAGCCCTTTTTGCTAAGTGCGAATTGACGAAAGCTTAGCGAAATGCAAGAATCACTTAAGAGCCCTCTTCACAATGCAACCTTCGGTTAGTCAAACGGGCATCATATGTAGCTCCCGAGTAATGTCATAGTTTCATGCGTAGTGCAATAGATAGTTTCAACTGTTAAACTGTATTATGCTTGTAGGCTGTAGTGGGGTAGCCAATATGGGGTACAACCCCAACTAGGGTTTCATATTTGTACCCAAACTTCTGTTAGTTGATCCATTCTTGCCTAGTGATTATGAGATGGTATTCAGAGCAGGAGGTCCCTAGGACCTACCGACCGTTTTTTTAAGGGCCCACCACCGCTCGCATGCGGTTACCACGCTACCCCGTGCCCTAGCCTCGTAGCGCCCTCGTGCGCCCACGTTAGCGCCCTCGCGCGCCCCTCGTTAGCGCCCTCGCGCGCACCCTCGTTAGCGCCCTCGCGCGCCCCTTCGTTAGCGCCCTCGCGCGCCCCTTCGTTAGCGCCCTCGCGCGCCCCTTGCTAGCGCCCTCGCGCGCCCCTCACTAGCGCCCTCGCGCGCCCCTCGCCGAGCCGCCCGCTCGCAGCCCGCCCGCCCGCTCGCTGCCCGCTTCGCGGCCCGCTCACTACGCAGCCCGCCCGCCCGCTCGCTGCCCGCTTCGCGGCCCGCCCGCTTCGCAGCCCGCTCGCTCGCTGCCCGCTTCGCGGCCCGCCCGCTTCGCAGCCCGCTCGCTCGCTGCCCGCTTCGCGGCCCGCCCACTTCGCAGCCCGCCCGCCCGCTCGCTGCCCGCTTCGCGGCCCGCCCGCCTCGCAGCCCGCTCGCCCCGCTGCCCGCTTCGCGGCCCGCCCACTTCGCAGCCCGCCCGCCCGCTCGCTGCCCGCTTCGCGGCCCGCCCGCCTCGCAGCCCGCTCGCCCCGCTGCCCGCTTCGCGGCCCGCCCACTTCGCAGCCCGCCCGCCCGCTAGCTGCCCACTTCGCGGCCCGCCCGCATCGCAGCCCGCTCGCCCCGCTGCCCGCTTCGCAGCGTCGCCCGCCCGCCGTGCTGCCCGCTTGCAGCGCCGCCTGCCCGCCGCGCTGCCCGCTTCCCGGCCCGTCCGCCGCGCTGCCCGCTCGCAGCGTCGCCCTCCCGTCGCGCTGACCGCTTGCAGCGCCGCCTGCCCGTAGCGCCAGCCTCGCCCGCTGCTCTCTATCCGTGCACAGTCGCCTTCCCCTGCTGCGGCAGCTTGCGTTACTCTGTCACACTGTCGCTATGGCTTCCATCCGCGTGCTGTCGTTCGATGCTGAGGGCCGCCCTGTGCGGTTCACCGCTTGGCTAGATGACCTGCAGCTGTTCCTCCTGAGCGATAGCAAGGAGCATGTGTCGCTCTATGATTACGCGTCTGGTGCTGCGCCTGCCCCTCCTGCCACAGCTGAGCTTAGTGTTCGTTCCCACTGGCAGACTCGTGACGCAGCTGCTCGCCTAGCCATTCGCAGTCACCTGCCGTTAGCTGAGCTAGAGCATTTTGGCGACTGCAAATCCGCTAAGGCCCTGTACGACGCTGTCGTCGCTCGCTACTCCTCGCCTGCCACAGCCGAGCTTAGCCGCCTCATGCTGCCGTACCTGTTCCCCGATCTGTCCACCTTTACTACAGTCGCCGATCTTATCACCCACCTTCGCACTAGTGATGCTCGCCTGCGTGCTGCCCTTCCCACCGAGTTCTGCGCTAAGAACCCCCCTCCACTGTACTGGACACTCCACTTCATAGTCACCCGACTCCCTGACACCCTCAGCTCAGTTCGAGACCACTTCCTTGCTCGCTGTCCCACTGAGCTCACAGTCGCCCTCCTAGAGGAGCAGCTGCTAGCGGCCGAAAAGAGCATTGTAGCTGTCGGTGCTGCTCGTGGCGCTCCTCGCACCCCCATCTTTGAGGGGTGTTCTCCCTCTCCCCTCGCTCCCTCCTACACTACTGCTGCTGCTGTTGACTTCCTTGGTGCTGAGTCTGCTGGCGCTGCTTCTGCTCCTGGTGGGAGGCGCCGCACCGGCAAGGGCAAGGGGGGCAAGGGTGGCGGGGGTGGCGCTGGGGGGGGAGGAGGTGGGGGAGGTGGGGGGGGAGGCGGTGCTGGAGGGAGCGGTGGCGGGAGTGCTGGTGGGAGTGGGGTCGGCAGCGGAGGCGGGGGCGGCGGAGGGAGCAGTGGCGGTGGTGGCGGCGGCGGCGGTGGCGGCGGCGGCGGCGGTGGCGGCGGCGGCGGTGGCGGTCGGAGCGGAGGTAGTGGTGGTGGCGGAGGTCGGAGTGGAGGCACTGGCTCGGGCCAGAGCTCCCAGCAGCAGCAGCGTCCCCAGACGACCCAGCAGCTTCGTGAGTGGCTTGCTCAGCGTGGGACGTCGGGGGCCAGTGCACGCTGTTCTTATGTCATTCGCACAGGTGACCGCAAGGGACAGACGTGTGGGAGGTTCCACACCCCGTACCGCTGCTTCTCCCGCCTTGACGACGCTTGGCGTGAGGAGATGGGTGCGGATGTTGAGCGCCCCCGCTGGGCTGAGCTCATGAGGGCTGGTGTTGATGTCTTTGCTCTTGACTATGATGCTATTATTGCTGCCATGTATGCATTGACTGTTAGTGCCGAGGGAGACTGTTACTTGTGTGTGCCGCCTGACCCAGGTATAGAGCCCGCTGCCCTGGGTACTAGTGAGTCTGCTCTCTCTGGTATGGTGCCCCCTGTACTTGCTCCCCCCAGTGCTGTCCCGGCTAGTTTCGAGTCTGCTCTCTCAGGTACAGCACCCACACAGACTCCTCTCTCAGGTACCGCACCGGCTGAGGCCTGTCACACCTTCACCCTTGACTCAGGTGCTTCCCGTTGCTTCTTTCGTGACAGTACTGAGCTCACACCGCTTCCTGCACCGGTCCCAGTCTCCTTGGCTGACCCCTCTGGGGGCCCAGTCCTTGCCCAGTCCACCACTGTCCTCCCTTGTCCGGCGGTTCCGTCTGGCTCGTTGTCGGGTTTCCACCTCCCCTCGTTCTCGACGAACCTGGTGAGCAACGCTGTCCTCCAGGATCAGTGGGTTGACACCTTTACCCCTGGCGGACAGCGTGTGGCGATCTGCACGTGCTCCAGGACCGGCCGTCACCTGGCTACGTTTACCCGTCGGCCGGGGTCGAGTCTCTACACACTGACCACTGCGTCTCCCCAGGTAGCTGCTGTCGGTCAGGTGTCTGCGTCAGGTCTGGTGGCCCACGCCTGTGAGTGTCGTTCCCTGTCGCACCAGACTCTTCTCTGGCACCACCGCCTGGGTCACCCCTCCTTGCCACGCCTTCGTGGCATGCACCGTCGCCTCCTTGTGTCCGGTCTTCCCAGGTCCCTCCCTCCCCTCCCTGCCTCGCCTGCGCCGCCTTGCCTTCCTTGCGTCGAGGGGCGGCAGCGCGCCGCTCCTCACTCCTCCTCGTTCCCCCCGACAGAGGCTCCTCTGGAGACCCTCCACCTGGACGTGTGGGGCCCAGCCCGCGTTCGTGGTCAGGGCGGTGAGCGGTACTTTTTACTGGTTGTCGACGACTACTCGCGTTACACCACGGTCTTCCCCTTGCGCACCAAGGGTGAGGTCCCTGCTGTTCTGATCTCGTGGATCCGCACCGTTCGTCTCCAGCTCCGCCGCCGTTTCCGGACGGATCTTCCTGTCCTGCGTCTGCACTCTGACAGAGGTGGTGAGTTTTCCTCCGATCTCTTGAGGACCTTCTGTCAGGCGGAGGGCATCGAGCAGACCTTCACGCTTCCGGACTCCCCACAGCAGAATGGGGTTGCTGAGCGCCGCATTGGCCTGGTCATGGAGGTCGCTCGTACCTCCTTGGTCCACGCGGCGGCTCCCCATTTTCTG